ACGCAAACTTATTAATGGCTTAAAGCAAACCACACAAAACATATTTACATGTTTGCTCAGATTCGCAATGAAATTATTTGTATTTGTTCTTTTTTTTCTTTCATTTGTTGTTGATTTGTGCTAGATGATGGTCCCGCATTTTGCGCATGTGGTTTTTACAACGTTTGTTTGTTATCCTTTGTCATTGTGGCTATTAAAAAGCCGGGCTGCGCAAAAGCCCTTTAATTGCCTTTCATTAGAATTTATTAACACTTTGCCACAGCAGCTGCAAATGCGAGTTGATAAATTGCAAAAAAATAATTGCCAATTTAATTTTGTCAAGGTTTTTTTTTTTTAAATTTCTATATTTATTACGCATTTATTTAATATGCTGTGCGTTGGCTAAACTATATAGTATGTAAAGTTGATATATATCATAACTGTTACTCTACTAGTCTCAGAGAAAGTTAGTCAAAGCTGCTTTGTTTTAATATTTAGTTCAACATTTGCTTAGCATGATGCAATGCAAATTCCACGTTTTAAATTCTTAGTCTTAGTCTTTCAGCACAAACCCACTGATGTCATTTTAAATATTTGTGCAATATTTTCAAGCATTGGGCGATGGCTAAATTGCGTCATTGCCTCAGTTGCTCAACTTGCTACAGTTTCTAGCCAGCACAAAAACGAGTTTTGAGCTTGTTTTTATTAAATTTTTGTTTTTGCTGTTGTGATTACGAATTTCTAATGCTGATGCGGATACTGATGCTGATGCTGATGCTGAAGCGGATGCCGTTGCCGGTGCTGTGAGCGTAGTCAACGATGATTATCAATTAAATGAAACTGGATACATGAGAATACCCCTATTGATACTGATACTGCCTTTCGGCTGCCTTTCTCCCGAGAGCGTTTTCACTGAGATTGCCAGCGCTCAGTTTTGTACAATTTAATGAATATGTAATGGATGAAAATACACAAAAAGAAAAAAAAAATGGAAAAGAAAAACCCTGCCGCATAAATTTGAGCACCCCTGCTGCTGCTGCTACTGCTGCTTCTGTCAGAACAAAGGAAATATCATTATCATTGTCTGTGCCATCTTTTTTCTACTTCTCCCTCCAACTTCTCACTTCCTTTGCTTCCGTTTTCTATATTTGCTTTCTCTCTATGCTTTTCTCTGCACTTGGCAGCTGTTTTCCTGCGGGTGCGTCAAAAAATTTCGGCGTGCCAATCTTGCAAAAACTTTTGACGCCCCCTCCCCCTCTCCCTCCCCCTCTTCCTATTTAATTGACGCGTTGCTTCAGGCCGCACTCTGTTTTTTTTTCCTTTGGTAATTGCTGCAAAATAATTTGATTATTAAAATTTAAATATTAATTGCATTTTTGTAAAGACAACAAGCTGCTAAATTTTACCCTGACTGAAGTTAATTTTCTCTTTTGGGAGTTTGTGTTTGTGTGTGTGTGTGTTGTTGTGGGTGTGTTTGAGGTGTGCTGGCTTGTTAATCAATTAGTCGAAAAGCTGACGTTGCATTTAAATGCTATGGTTTGTTGTCCAAGATTTATGCGGCTCATAAATGTCAAATGCAAAGCACGCTCACAACACATAAAACACCTGACCCTCAACGGCTTGTAACTGTCTCATTGATATCTATACCTATATATATATATATATAAACCTCAATTAATCTTGATAATGTTGGCTTACAAACAACTGCTTGACTTTTGCTTGTGGGTGCCCCCAAAGGGGGTAAGTTTTGCATCAATAAATGCCCATCAGCTGCAGCAGCAGCAGCAATTGTGTGGGAATTGAGACAAGTGGCAGGACATATTGAATTCTATGTAGGACATTTCAAATAAAATATTTCATGCAAAATTTACAACACACACACACATGCACAAAACTGTAAAGAAACCATATGTCAATTGCACTCACACACACCAACACACACAACACACTATTGTAATGGGCAGCAGACAAGCAAAACTTGAATGCTCAGATACGTTTTTGCCTCCCTTCACTCCCCTGGGCATACACAATGGCATGTCAAATGCAAAATGCAAAAACACACATTGTGCGAGCTGTAAGCGGCTGTAAGTGGATAGCGGGTAGGGGCAAAGGGGGAGGGGGACTGTGCTACACAATGTTTTTTGTGTGCCTCAACCCATCGCCGAGCAGTTTGCTGCACCTACAACGTCCGGCCTTTGTTGAAATAACCATAAAATCAAGATAAGTTATTGGATTTGCTGGACAGGAAGCAGGGTATAAGCACTTTTGACTTTCAGCAACCCAAACTTGCCAGTGCCTCATATAAATGTGCCTTGTGCCTGTCCTTGTCCACGTCCTCGTCCACGTCCACGTCGTCCTCGTTCTCGTCCTCGTCCTCATCTTTTGTCATTGTGCCAACGTTGTGCGCTGTGTCGTAGATTAATTGCTTTCTTTCTTTTTTTCGGGGTCTTTTTATTTGCAGTTTTTGGTTAAGGACTCAACGGCAAAAAAAAGGCCATTTTTGTGTAATATAAATACTATTTTTTTTGTATATACCCTGTTGCACTGTAATGCATACAAATGGGGTATGATATTTATTTAATATTTATTTTTGAGTTTGATATCTATGATCTATGATATTTACTTGAATCGGCAAGAACGTTTTGCATTGCGTCTTCTATGTTTCATTATCTGTTCTTAGTTCCTGTGAAAACTCAATGTGTATTAAAGCTAGAGTTATGAATGCAGTTATTAAGTTTCTGTAACTCTTCTGTAACTCTAAGTCTCTTCAGGACTTAAAGCTCTGAGTTATTTAGCCATCTAATCTGGACTGAATTCAGGGTATCTGCTAGTTGAGCATTTCCCTCCAATTTATATATATTTTTTTTGTAAATTTCGCAGCCTTGCGCTGTGTGAACTTTTGTGCGCTCGAGCAATTGCCCAGGCGACCTGCTAACTGTAGTTCGCCTTGCCGCGCCCCACCTCGCCCCTGCCGCTATTTCCCTTGCAACCCTCCAACTAGCTTTTCTTTATATATAAATAGTGGCGTTTGCGTTGTCGCTCTTGTGTTTGTTGTTGGCGTCGCACAATGCGCAGCTTAGCGCCTGTGCTGGGCATAGACTCCTTTGCCATGAGCTCTCTCTGTGTATGTGTGTGGCGCCACACAATCAGTTTTCGCACTTGGCTCTCGTTGGAATCGTTGTCGTCGTCGTCGTCGTCGTAGCTGGAGTTCTGGTGGTGTGCTGGGCCCTCTCACTAATGCGATTAAGCCGCTTGTTGTGGCTGTCAACGCGTTGACTGGCTGACTCTGACCCCCCTGACCCACACCCCTCGTCCCTTTGCACCACCTACACCCCTTAGACGGCAACATCTCTGCACCCTAGAAGCAGCCACAGCAAGCTGCTTTTGTAATTCACTTAAGTGTGGCATTTTGGCCTGCGGTAAACGGGGCCCGCCATTGTAAAAGACTGCTCCTCTCGCCTTGCCTCGCCTCGCCTCGACGCTCTCCCTGCCACTGCCTTGATCTCCTTAGCATACGCCCCTGGGCCGCTTGGACAGCTTTACCTTTTGTAGTTGTATGGAGTCAAAGGGGGCTCTAGTTTAATCATAAATTTCATTTCGCCTCAAGTGCTGCAAGTTTAACACAATTCACAATGCTAACTGGCAAAGAGCCCAAACAACACTGAAGCTAAAGCTACTATTTCTATTAATACTACTACTGCTACTACCAGTGCTACTTCTACGGCTACTATCTATCCATCTGAAGTAGTCGTCAGCTCTGCTGTGATCCTTAACCCTGGTTAAATACAATTTATGATGACATTATGGCGTGCTACTCTAATCAGATACCAGAAAGCACAGGCGAGACATACAGTTACATTTAACGGTAAAACTTCTATTAAGTAGCTGTAGCATTAGTCGTTGAAAGGCTGGTAAAAGCTGGCAAGGCTGCCAAGTGTCACAGTGCGACACGCCTTTCGCTTAGATATCCTACAAAAGGGTAGACCATTTCGAGTAACTGCTTTTTGGCATTTCGGAAATCGCTCTAAAAATAATTTCTTAAGCATAGTAATCGACAATCCCAAAAATATGGTGTTGTATTTTGTTGTACAGAAGTATATTTCTTAATAATAGAAAATATGTCCAAAAAGTTTAAATGCAAACCGGAAATTTGACAAATATTTGTAAACTTTTTAAAGCCACAACCTTCAACTGTAGAAATATACTTTCTGAATAATAAAGCGGAAAAAGATGTAAAGAATTTGTAAACTGCATGTTGATTTTTGTGTGAGTGCAGCTAAAAGTCAAAAGCGTCATGTTTATATTTAACAGGATAACTGCCAGTCACACAGCTCAACACTTGGGCCTATTTTGTGTCGCAGTGTGGCACACGCATAATCTACGAGCAGGTGGCGGGCGTGGGGGGCAGGAAATCTTTATGAGCTCACACGCTCATCAGGAAGCAACGGCGCCGGCAATCAGGCAACCCTCCAGGCGGGATTAGAGAGATGGAGTGGGGTATGGGAGTGGGTTGCTGGTATTTCAGGCGTTGCCAATTGGAGTTTATTAATTTGAGGACGTGTGCGTGTTGAGTGCCTCAGCTGTGCCGAGATATTTACAATTGTTGTAAATATTTCCTTTATTATTGTAATTATATTTGTGGGGCCACAAGCAAAGCGGACGTGGAATGTACAACTGTCGTCGAAATTCTCGAAAAATATGCTATTATTTGCTCCCATGCCAATGTTGCGTGTCAATTTTGCCTGCCAACCAGTTGTTTGGCTCCATTTGACTGCTCTTGTCGCATTAGCGGCACAGTTAAACTGATTTTTATTGACCAAAAAGAAAACCAAAATAAACTCCCTACGGCAATTAGTTAAATATTTTGTAAACAATTTTTATGATTTTAATTTGCGTGGCAATTTTGTGTGGCAATTGGGGAAAATTATTTCCCGTTGCGCTGTCAAAATTTTTGAAGTTCTCAACTCCAACTTCCAACACACACACACACTAAAAACTGTTATTATTTCTGTTATTTGCAGCTTGTTTACTTTTGCGCAGAGGTAAAATTTATGCCAAGTGCTTCGTGCAAGGGAGCCAGGGAGCAAGGATGCGCCATGGAGCATACATACTTCCGGCACGTCACAACTTGACTTGACTCCAAAAACTTGGCCACTCTCTTTCTTGAAGAAGAAGGCTGAGCAGAAGGAGCTGGGGGAGTGAAAAGTGGACTAAGAAGAGTAGCTTGCGGAACGTGCCCTGATGTCTCAGGTAATTATGCATATTTAAGCAGTTTTGTCTACAACAGTTTTCGAGCCTAAAAGCGTCATTTCAAATGAATTATTTATGCAAACTCAGCCTAGGTTTCGAGTCGAGTGTTTGTTGGGGGGCGAGAGTAGAAGGGACTCGACTCTAGCTGCTTGGAACTTTGGCATATGCAAACATTACCTCAAGTTGTTGTCAAGTGGATTTTAGGGGGCTCATAGGCCTGGCTCTGGTACGCTGTCGGGCCGGCGCCTTGTTTTACATAATACGTAATGTGGTAATGTGTTTATGCGCTCTTTAAAGCCCATCTACACACACATTCATTGCGGTCTCCGACTGTAATTGGCAGCCCAAAAGCACCAGCAGGCTATATATAAATTTGTTTATTTGTGTTGGGCGCATTGAAATTAATGCCACACTATTAATGTTAATGTTGAAACATCGCTCGTTGCTTCCAACGTCACATTTATCAATGACGCAACATTTTCCTCTCCCCGGGAATACCCAGCATACCACACTTGATTTCAATTGGGTCGATTGGGGGCACGAATAGAGTAGAAGTTGTGACAGTCGGCGTGAGATAAGCAGTCAAAACAATCTACAAAGTTGGAAACAGATTGCGCATCAATCGCATCCTAACTCTAAACTTGATAGAGGTAAAGAAAGTTTTACCAAGGAGACAGAAAGTTGATCTTAAATATTTACTATTTTTGAGAATGCCTATATATAAAATATATGCTGCATTTTAAGTTTAAGAGGCTTGCAAGCTTTGCAATTATAGCCAAATCTGTAAGCCCCAAGATAGCATTTTCTAGTCGATTTTAAAAATTCTTTCATTGATTTATTGAGCACCATAAAATTTGAATTTTAAATAGAAACGTTTCAATATCAATTTATACCTGGCCACAGGGCATTCATCCAGTCAGTCGATTTCATTTGTGCTAAAGCACTCTTGCTTGATCAACTTCAATGTGAATTCATTTCGTTTCATTTCATTTCACACACACCCAAACACTCACACAGAGAAAGAGATAGAAATAGAGAGAGAGAGAGAGGGAGACATTCAATTCACTACATAGCTTTGCTTTCAGCTTAATTGTTTTGCAACTAAACATCAGAGCCAAATGTCTTTCATCATTTTACTAGCCTGGCCAAAAGAAAACCCAATGCCCATTTACAATTTGCCAATTTACGCCGACTCACCTCCCGCCATCTCTCGATTTGGACCAAAGTCTCAATTGTTGTTGTTGCCCAGTCAAAATCGTGTCTAAGTAGCTTTTGTGCAAATGAAAAGCGGAAAAGCACGAATCGAAGCAGAGAGAGAGAAAGAGAGTGAGCGAAGAAGAAGAAAAGCCATAAACTGTAGCACACTTTGAGGCGAAAATCAAAAGCGGCATTCAGCCCGAGTGGGTGTCCTCCTAAATGAGTGAGTGAGTAAGTGTCTTGCCAATTGCCATTGCCAGCTAATTAAAATATATTTAAATGCAGCCCCCTCTAAGCACTAAATCGAGTTGCTAATTTATGCGATTTTAATAGAATATTCCAGGCAAACAACAAATTGGTTTACTTAGGACGTGGCAAGGACATATAAATAGAATAGACCAAAAAAGAAAAAACCGAGCAAAAACAAAAATACCATGTTCGGAAATTAGCATAGTTTTAGGCACTAGCCAAACAATTTTTGGTAGAATACTTTTTGCGGGCCCCCAAAAACTTTTTTGATGTTTTTGCCAATTTCCCGTGCGCAACGATTTACGGCCCGGACCAAAAACAAGAAAAGTCAAAATAAAAAAAAAAGAAGAATAAAAAACAGACAAAGCAAAAGTTCAACTTTAAGGCGCGTTAAATTTATTGATTTTGACTTAAGAAGCAGGAGGCGTGGAACATTTTCATTTAGTGGGCGTTGCACACACTGCTCTTGTGTGTGTGTGTGTGTGTGTAGCTGTGCAAATTTATATGTTTGCCCTAAATAGCAATCAAAGGCTTAACAATGTCTGAACCTCTGAACCTGCCCGCTCCGCTACCATTCACAGAATTGTACACTTAATTGAACTTTGAACCGCATCAATTCAGAATATGTTTTTCGTATTGGATTCCAATTGGAACGGCGAGCTGAGTGCTTCTCGAGTGGAATTTAAATAGTGCGCGGACGCCTAAATAAACTTGGCTACGGCGCCTAAGTAAATTGGTCCCACGCAGTTCAAAAGCTGATCTGTCATTTGTTGTTGTGCTTTGTTGTGTTTGCTTGTCTCTCTGTGTGTGTGTGTGTGAGTGTGTGTGTTTGTTGTTGTTGCTGTTTCAATGTGTTTCGGCTTGATAAATGTGCCGCTAGCCTAGCCCCAGAAACCAAAAACAAACACATAAATCACGAAAGCACGTTGTGTAGGAAATATCTAAGCACGGTGGTTCCTGCTACTTAAGTTAAACATTGGAGAGAAGGGGAGGAGGAATTGTGGAGGGAGGGGACAAATGGGCGACAGCTTGTTAAACTTTAACATTATTATAATTAGGGTATAGGTACAGTTCTTAAGACATTTTGTGGGAGATTTTCAAATTGTTTGCGCTGCTAGAAGCATATTCGAACATCCTTAAATTTCCATCAAGAGTTACATGGTAGCCTTTCTTTTTAACTTCTTTGAATTATTATAACTAGAGCTGGGTTCAGTTTTATAGAAGAAGCTAATTCAGACATGCTTTAATCTCCGTCTGAAATTTCATGGTAGATGAGTCTATCTATCTGTTTTATAAGTTATATCGAACTCCTCTTTATGTCTGTCTTTTCCTTTCCTTACAAATACTTATTTATCTCAACTGTTTCCACAAGATTACCAACTCGAGCAGAGCTCAACTTTGAACCTGTTGTCTTGAACCGGAACCGTTTTTAAATTCTTCTATTTGTACTGCTGTTGCCAACATTTCTTTTCTTGTTTTTCTAGTTGTTTGATCAAACTTGTTAACAGAAAAGCCACTTGGCTCGAAGCACGTGCACAAACGAAATACCAAAATTTGCAAATTGAAAATTCAAAATCCGAAATCCAAGTGCATTCTGTCATTTTGGCAAACAATGCAGTCAGGCGTGAGAATGTATGCATGCCTCTCTCTCTCTCTCTCCCTCTCTCCCTCTCTTTTTGTGGGTGTGTCTGTGTGTGGCAGAAGCCAAATGAAAATTGGCCACAGTCAAGCTGCAGCTGAAGCTGCTGTAGCCCAGTTTCCGCCGCTCTTGCACTCTCGACAGCCTGCCAACCGCAACAGCCAAAATTTATGCCAATATTTGCATTCAATGCCCCAAAAATAAACCGTAAAATGGTTGTTGGCACAGCCCAGGGAGTTAGCCCAAGTATCAGTAGGCCCAGAGAGGGGGGCGTGTGTGTAGTGTGGGGAATGCTGCTGAGCGGCGAGGAGCTGGGAGCAAGATGGGTGGTGAGTGTTATGGTCTCGGATAATATTGGCAGGCTGTGTGCGTCTGCCTTCTATGTAGGCTCAACATTTTCATATTTATGATAGCAAGCTGCTGTGGAGAGGATGAGGTATGGTGAGGGTGCAGAGGGGGTGTGCAGTGTGAATGTGTGCATTGACTGCAATAATTCAATTGCACACCTACGCAATTTACTGGCGCCAAGAGCAGCAACAACACCACCACCAAGAACAACAACAACAACAACAGCAATCAGCTTTATGCTGGCCAGCCATCGGAATATTGAAATATCGCAGGAGTCACTTTTCTCCTCTGTTCTGCTCTGGTCAGCAGTGGGAAAACGTTTAAAGCACTTCAACGCACACAACTGAGGTTAAAACTAACACACGCACACACACACACACACACACGCAAACACACACTTGAGAACACATTGATATGCATAAGGCAAACATGGTCAACATTTAGCATATTCCTAAAGTTAGGAAGCTCGTAGCAGTTCCTGTTTGGCTCGGAGAGTTGGGCATAATTGGATTTGTTTAGCTGTCAATATTATGTCAGAAGTCGACATCAAGAGTTTGACACATGACTGCAAAGCATAGACTAGAGTAATGTAGAGTAGTGGGTGTGTGGCATGTCATGGAAGGGGGCGTGGCGCGACAGACAGGCGGGGCAAAGAGATAGACGAGTCGATAGCCTAAACGAATAGAAAAGAAACAAGGCACTCAGAAATTAGACGGCACAATCAGACAAGCCAACAAGCGAATGGACAGACAGACAGACAGCCAATATGAATAGATAAAACAATCTTTTATCTATATTCATATACCCTGCAGACACCAAAAGTAATGAATAAAGCGAAGGCATGTTAAATCAAAAGAGTTTATAAGAAAAACTAATAATGATAATGTCGGATTCATAAATGAAATTCAGGCATTTTCTTAATGGAACATTTTGATTTATGAATTTTCCTTGAATGCCAAATAGGATTAGTTTGAGCTACTTTATGGCTGCGGAAAATGTTGATCCAGTTCTGTTATTGTACATTTTTATCAACAATATTTAACAAAGAAAAACCTGCAATCTTAAAGCATAAATACCTTAACCATTATATATTTTGGTTACAGGGTATTTATTAATTTAGCACTCTTCCTTAACGGTTTTTCGTTAAAAGGTTTAAGCTACAAATTGACTGACGCCAAGTCAAGTGAATGATTTCCGAATGTTGACAATCAAATGACGTGATTTGAAATCCTTTTTTAGCACCACTCACTGCTCGCGACTATCAAATTTTATGGCATCAAAGAGTGGCAGTGGCATTGGATGGGGTTGAAGGTGGGTGTGGTGCCAGCTGCTATTGACAGCTGAATTTGCTGTTTGTTGTTTGTCAAGGTGTCGAGCTTCAAAGGCACAAAAGGGTAACATTCAAGTCGACACTCGACCAGGCAGAGGCAGAGGGCGGCTTATGGTAGTTCTACCCCCACCCCCATACTCTATCCTGGAGCACATTTTCGATTGTCCTTTCATGTCCTTGCCTTGCGAATTTTACAGCTGATGCAAGCAATTTGCTAGCCAAGCTACTCAAGTAGCCATGGCTGTTGTTGGTTGTTTGTCTGTGTGCGGACTTTTGCTGCCTTGACAAACACATCCGGCTACATATGCTACTAATACTATTAGCCTTCATATCAATTACCAAGTCTTCGTCTTCTTCTTTTTCTTCCTTTTGCTTGCCATCTTCTCATCTTCCCACACTGTTGCCACAGCAGCAGCAGCAGCAGCAGCAGCATCAGCAACCTCTGCAAACATAACGCATACGTCACGTTGTCTGTGTGTATTTTAGCTGGCATATATATTTATATTTAACTTACGGCTCAAGTTAAACACTTAAGTCGTAAACCAAAATTAAAACAAGTGCACATGAGCTGCTCATTAACCACGCCCCCCTCACACACACACACACACACACGCAGTTGCTGCTGTTCATGTGGCACATGAATGATTTACATACATTTATTTTGCTGCTTGGCAACCCAAACAGAGTTTTAATAAAGTATTTGCTCACTCGAGTGCAACAGCAGCAAAAACAACAACAAACAACAACAAACAACAAAAGCAGCAAATGCAAACACTCGAGTGAAGAGTCAGCAAATGTGCTAGACTGTGTTGTACCCTGTAAATAGCTCTTGAATATGCGTTAACTTCTGTATAAGTCTTCTTCAAAAGTCCCTCTAAGCCAAATTGGCATAACTATACTTTATATATTTAAGTCATAAATATCTTTATCTACATACAAATTTTTGCCGACTTTTGATATTTTTCTGCATATAATTTGCTTAGTTTTATTACCATAAATAAACAAGAATTGCTTGGTGCCACCATGAAATAGTTGCATATTAAATTTGCTGAGGTTAGCTGGATTAGATCTGGAGATATATGTAGATGAAATTTTGGTTCTTATTGCAGTCTTGACTATAACATAAATATGCAACAATTTATGTAGCTCTTTGCGTGCAATTTTATTGTGCACAGGGTATATAGAGCTACAAACTCTCAATGCATCCCCCTCCCAAAAAAAAAAAAATAAATTGAGAAAGATATAAAGCTGCTGTAGGAGAGAGAGAGAGAGAGAGAAAGTGTGTGTGTGTGGGGGAAATATATCGGATGGTTTGTAGCCAAAAAGTTGACTCTTGCAATCAACAAGAAGAGCTGCTTCTTCTTCTACTTCCTCTTCTTCATTCGCTGGTGCAGCCTGACTTTGATGGCTGAGCGGCAAATTCTCCAGCTCACTGACTGACTGACAGGGGCTGGAGCAGGGGTTGGTTGGTTGTGAGTTAAGTGGTTGACTTGGCACTGACATAATTTACATATGCCAAACATGCAGCTGAAATCCAACAGGGCAACATCAACATCAACAGCAACAGCAACAAATGAGCGCCACATTGTTGGCACTCACCTGCGAAAAACCAACAAAAGCTCAGCTACAAACACCTTGCAGCAGTTGCAGAAGTCTCAGGTTTATTTATATGAGTGATTAGCCACTGACAGAAGTTGGCATGGAGCAAATGGAGTAGCTAGCAGGACTTACACTAAGAAAAACGTGTGCAGCTATAAATTTAGATCGAGAAACACAAAAACATGTGGTTATAAACGATTGACATAACTGGAAAATATTGAGAAGGATAAGACTTCTGCAACTCAAGCAGGTTTAACAAGATATTATAGGTCATTAAATTATCTCTTCAAAATGCATAAACAAGACAAATAAAAGCATCAGCGATACATTTGTGGGTCGGGTTGCATAACATCTATAAACCTGATTCTGAGATTCGAACATGGATTCAATTGCCTGACAACTTCAAAATAATATTTTCACTTACTTTTATAATTGTTAGGTTGCCTGAAGGCATTCACTTATATTTAGAATTTTTGCAAATTGATGTTGCATATTAAATTAGTAATATGATAATTAGTTAAATCCTTCGTAAGCTTAAGAAATTAAGAGAATGTTTTTAGAAAGACGTTAAAAATGTGATTGGCGAATAGGCAAGACTTCTATCTTTCTATCTTTCAGTCTGTATCTCCACCCTTTTATGACTTATACTTTTTTTTTGGAGTGTAGCTTTATCTGTAACTTCTGCTGCCAGTCGGTTGTCGTGTTTATTTATTACAGCTAGCTGCTGTCGTCAGTGTGTTTGCGTGTGCGTGTATTAGTGTCGGTGCTGGCTGCCAGTCTGTCTGTCTGTTTGTGGCAGGCAAATACAAATAGTTGCAGTTGCCTGCATGCCTGCATGCCCGCACGTGCCACATGCCCCGCAACCACACAGCGCAGCTTCCGCTTCAACTTGAGCTGCCTTTAAATTCCATCTTAAAGCAGCCAAAGAACCCCTTTGCCACCCTGGAACCTTCCGCCATGCTAATGTTGCCTGCCAATATTTGAGTTTATTTGCTGAGGCTGCGGCAGTGGCAGCTTTTCTCTCTGTTGCCGCTTGAGATTTGGTTTTTTATGTTGCACGTTGCACGTTGCACAAACGTCGCAGCTGCCTGGTAATTGAGTTGGAAAAATGTTGTTGACGCCCCAGCCCTGAACGCGGCGACATGCTGCGACAATTGCAACCAGCTTGCAACCAGCCCCTCTGCGCCGCCCTCAATCACACTTTGCATATTATTACGTGAATTCTTTTTCGTTTGTTGCAATTCCTCTGCAGCATTGCAGCATTGCAGCATTTCTATACATATTTCTGTTGTTCGCTGGGAAACATGTGCGAACAAACATTTAAATCAATTGTGCCCCGAACGCGTTCCCCGAGCTGCTGCTGCTGCTGCTTCTACTGCTGGTGTTGCGACTGTTGACTGGCTTTGTCAGCCTGCCAGCCTACGAGCCTGCCTCGTTTTCGCCTCTTTGCCACTTGTTATGCAAAATACGCGACACGCGCGCAAATCAAGCAACAAAATATGCTCAAATTGACACGGCCAACAAAAAATTTCGTTATATTTTACTTGCAACGTGTGTGGCAATATGTAGTCCCAGAATACAAAATGGTGCACGTCAATCGTCAACAGAGGGAACGCCGCGTGTTGCTGCAACCAATTTGATTATATTCATACCATTTAAGCTGTTCAGGTTGAGAAATCAATATGATTTAGATGGTTTGAAATCTAATAAAAGATCAAATTGAAGTTCTTAACTGATATTAGTAATCGATAACAAATTTTAACTTTTCATTCAAATTATCTACATATTTTAAAAATATTTATTAAAATCGTAGATTCTCACACTAGAAAAGAAGTAAATTGAAAAACAATCACAAAATAAACATATTTCTTGTACGGCTCAAAATCTATTCTATTTTGGCAAAAGTTGTGTATTTGAAAGCATAATAAGTTTTTGAGGACTAAAATTCGTAATGGCAAATCCAAAATTGTATATCGCTGAAGAGTTGCATTCGTTTAGCAGCTTTAAGTTTTGGCATCTGTATATATAAATATTTTTTGTAGTTTGGATTTCATTATGGAAATCATTGCTTATCGATTCAATGAGGCGTAAGGGGAAGGGACGCCAACGCTAACTTGTCCAGCAGTTTTCCAATTTCGATTTGGGTAGCGATTTAAATTTTAAGCCGACTGTCGTCGCAATTTTCCTTGGCATTTGCCGTGGCTAAATTGCATAAAAATTTCGCCTTCGTCGACGACTTGTGCTCAATTTCTATAACCGAAGGAAGGAAGGAAATTGTGAGGGAGGGGTGGGGAAAGGGGTATTTGTGGGGGTTGCTTTTTTTTTGTAGGTCTTTCGTGCAGGACTTTGAATGCCATTCGCTGTCTCTTTTTATTTGCAATGGTTGCAAGGTGCACAGTTTCTCACACACACAAATACTCTTACACAGTTGCGAAGGTCGCTGTTGCATGGCATGACATGGCATTATTCGAGGCTTTGGATACATTTAGCTTTACGTAGGCCCGCGGCGACGTACTGTAAACGCAAAAAACAAATCGTATATTTATTTATATATGTATATGTATATGTTCGTTTTTCCAACTAAGCCCGAGCCAAGGAAAAGTAAACTTGAGGCGGGCACTTGAAAGCCAATAATGTACAAGAAAATTGTGAATTTTTCACATTTTGCGAGCGTATTTTCTGTAGGGGAAAAAAGCCATCAACCATTTGGATTTATGTATGCTATGCAAATGATAGTTGCTCATAATAATGATAGTATCCTAAGATTGGGAAGGCTATTACTTAACAAGGCTATTTAAACTAATTATATTATTTCAATTTCTTTCTCTTTTAGAGCACTCAACGAGGCACGCATCCATAAAGAGCAACAAATTGCGAGGAGTTCGCTTTTGATAACTCTTGATTGAAAGACATCTTGTGATTCCAGCTTCGATATCGGGCTAAAGAAGTACGTTTATAGATGAATATATATTTTTGATATTTAGTTTCAAGACTTTATTGTTTTGTTCCAAATACACATATTAAAAGGGTCTTTCATGCTTCTTTCGAGTTGTAAGTTAGTTTTTACCTTTGAAAAGACTTACAATCATCCTTTCAACGTTGAGTTCCTTTATGAAATTATGTATTCTCATATCGTTGAGTACAGTGTATTGTTTGGAGTAATACCTGCAACATAGGGACATGTGTGGCCAAGTAATAATGCTGTTGTCGAGTGAGCTTGACTACGACCCGGAAGCCAATTATGAATTATATTTATAAGGTTTTGCACGCTCAAATATAAGCATGCGTGGAAGTGCTCAAATTTTTAATGGCCACCATAGGATTGAAGGTGTTTCCTTCTGCCCACTTTCTATGGGCTCAGGATATAAGAATACTTATCTTCATCTGGGAGTATGAATTTTCTGAATTCGTGGTATCCGCATCTTGAGTTACATAACATATTATGTTACACCACTGCTCTATAAATGGACATTTACCTTTCAACGACCCGCCTCTTTCGTGTACTTTACTTTAATCATACATTATGTTCTTTAATAGTTTGCGTTATTGTTTTAACGCCACAACAGGGGCAATTAAATTTAATTAGTTTAAGTTAAAATTGCAAAAACCTAATTGCCCGAGATGCGTGCGTCTTAAATCTTTTCCATTTAATTTGCTTTTTATGACAAGTGTGTCTGTTCGCTTGTTATCGTTGTTGCCCCACCAATTTTATGAGCTCGCAACGTGCGAGGTTAAAACACGCCGAGCAGAGCAGGGAAAAGCAGAGCAGGGATGAGCAGAGCATGGAAGAGCAGAGCAGGGTAGAGAAGAGAAGAGCGAAGCATTTAACCAACAGTTTATTACGTTTGGCCAAGTTGGGGTTGAGTTGAGTTGAGTTTAGATTAGTCACAGATATGTCTAACTAAGCTGCTGTATGATTTGCTGCTAATTGGCCAGATAAGCAGCGCTCTTCTAGCCATATTCTAAATGGGATAGCGGAGCCCTACAAACGCTGATGCTTAACTGTAAATTGCGGCCAGGTGGCAAGTGGCAAGTTGCCCTAATCAGAGTGCAAGTTTCTGTTGTTGTTGTTGTGTTGTTGTAGGTTTTTGGTTGTGTGGCACTTGGAAGTTTTTGGGCAACTACTGGCGCACATGCAACTTAAGTTTTTGGCCATATTAAAAGCATAGTTTTTGGCCAAAAACCGCACGACAATGCAATAAAAGTAAACTACTTGCAACATGGGCCAAACAATTGAGCAACTCATTCAAGAAGAAAATCAAAATGCACTGATAGAAACCAATTGAAAGCGGCGGGGAGGAAGAGTTCCTTACGTTGGCGGGGGGTGTGTGCATAAAGACAAAAACAGTTGCTTGTAGAAAAACTTTATCCTTGCGCACATGTCGCACAGTGTCCCGACTCCTTGTTGTATATTGAATGTTTATTTGCATGCAATGAGCCCGCAACAGTCTCCATGTGTATATTTGTGTGTGGTGTGTGGTGTGCGTGTGTATGGCATGCAAAACTTTGGCTATAGTTTAAAATAGGTCGTTGTAGTCAGTTCGCCAAGGCAACAAGGGGTTAACAGCATTCTTAATAACGCATAAAAAAAAAGGAAAAAAAAAGAACAACAGCTACAAAAAACTGCGTAACAAAGTTAAAATGAAACTTTTGCGAAAAACTTTGCAACACTGCTGGGCGCTCTCTTGCCCTCTACTCCCTCCCTCCCTCTCTCTCTCTCTCTGTCTCTCAGTGTATTACATACTTTGGAGATGCTTACGTGCTCAGAGCGACTTAAAGCTGCAGCTTTGTACAAAATGGCAGCCGCCTGGGGAGTTTGACTGTGAAACTGAAGTCAACCCGAGTCGGGGTTGTTATTAAAGCACGGCTTAAGCTCAGCAGTTTCAGCAATTTAAGCAAATCGATAAGCTTGCCGCTTAGTGCGGCACGTGTGTCGCTGCCACTCAGCGAAGGTGCCGCCGCCAGAGTTATGCATTGAATCGCTTGGCTTAGAGCACCCAAATCTTCGAGCAGCAGTTCCCCTATTTTGTGTGGCTTGCGTGTGCAAATTATGCCTCGCACCCCCCAACAATAAATTTGGTTGCCTCATCAAATCTGTTGTTAATATGCTTTTAGCTTTATTTGCCCTACGAGAGAGAGAGAGTGAAAGAGAGAGAGAGAGAGAGAGAGACTAACTTAATTTTGTTTAGCTTTGTGTACTTAATTCAGTTGGGGGTTTGTGGCCTGTTTGGCATTTAATTAATATTAAGTGGCGATTTATTTAACGGTTGCCAAATAAATATATATATTATTCGCAGCACATTTATCTTTCTCCTGGCAGCTTTAATTATGAAAACTAACTGGCAGCTTTATGGCGAAACCAAATTCATTTTAGTCAAACATTTAAGCTAGAAACTTGATTAATATTTCACTTTTCGAAAAACGCTTTTAATCTGCTGGAACACTTGTTGAAAATGCCACAGGCTTTAAGGCAAGGCGCCGATGACTGAATTACGTATACGCCACGTGAACTCTGTCAAAAAGTACAAAAAAGAAAGAAAGAAAGTAAAATCAAAAAGGGTACAGAGAAAGAAAAGGAAGAAGAAATGTCAACAATAATTTTTAATTAAGACTTGTTTTCATTTTTCATATTAGAGCGCAGGGCACACACAACCAAACACAACCAAACACACACACACACACACAGACAGTGAAGGCGAGGAGTTAATTTGAATTTTATAGCAGTCAAGTTTGTGTAATTTAAGAGCCAGCTACAAGACTGAGGGCGTTGAGCAACACATGTTTGCCACCAGTGGGCGTGGCATTGCAAAGGGGCGTACACATATATATCGTGTGTGTGTGTGTGTGCGCTGGTTGTGTGTACTTTAGCGCTCTTTTTTTGTAGACATTTCTTTTGCAGCTGCGCCAGCGAATGCTTCACTGCACACTACACACACACACACACACACACAGACAGAGACACAATGCGCTAGCTAGTGTTATGTTTGTATATATATATATAAAGCACAGTCAGAGATTGCCGGCAACAAAACTCGCAGGAACTTTGCATTAAGCAAAAGAAGAAAAAATAAAATAGAGAACGAAACTTTTTCAATTTCTTCAACTGCATTTTTGGGGGCAATCCCTTCTCTTCTCTTCTTCTTCTGCTGCTGCTTTTGGTTCATCTTTTAGCCTTCTGCACGCTTGTTTGTTCTTGCCATTGCTGCTACAAGTTAATCTGCCCCATAGACTGCAAGTTGCGCTAACTGTCTGCAACACGATGCCCCCACCCTCTGGCATCTCCTTTACTTTTCGTTGGCAGTTCATTTCCTTTTAGATTTGTGCAAGTTTTTGCCTTGGCTGCTGCTGCTGCTGCAGAGCAAAAGTTCTTCTAATTTCGTTACATACTCGGCACAAATTACACATGTAATGCATATGTAAACCAGACAAGCACCGCTTTCCATCCTCTGCCACCCCACCCCCTCCTTTTTAGTGCTTCAAAATTTCTGCAATTTATTAGGCACGAGTCCTACTGGCTATCTGCTGCTCCAGCCACATTACAAGCTCAAGTTTTATCGGACTTGCCGCCAATAAAGCCAAGTTTATGCGGCAATTAAGGCTAAGTTGGACCAAAAACCATTCTCTGGCCAAGTTGCAACGCATGAGAATGCGGCATGAATTCAATATATATGTGCATATATTATATATGCATTTGTGGAAAAGTTGCTTGCAACATTTACTTATTAAATTATGTGCACTCCAAAGTTTACTGCTTTTCTGCTGTCTGGCAATTATTTCATTATGTGTAAGCGACCTAAAACAAACCCACACTGGCCACACCTCCCATTTCATACGCCGCATGCCACACTAGCTGCATTTTTGTCGCCAAGGCGCCTAAAAAGTTTGCATGCAACATTCTTTTGGCCAAAGACTTGGTTCAGGCATTTGCCTGCCGCCTTCATTGTTATTAACATAATTGCATAAAAGTTGCAGCTGAGTTGCGCAAAGTGTGGCAAAGAAATTTGTGAAGACACAGACGCTTAAGCGCTTAATGCCATTTATTTGCTTTAGCCATTGCCTTTGCCTTTGCCATTGCTTTTGCTCTTTCCTTTCCCCATTTTACTTTGCCCCTTTTTCGCGCTGACGTTGCACAATTTCACTCCTTGGTTTTCCTCTATTTTTTTTTGTAAGCAGGAGGTGAACGGAATTCGTTTTAATTATTGTGCCAAAGTCAGCACCAACTGGCGTCGCCTTCTAATTATATTTTCTGTAATTTTCTTAAGCTTCATTAATTTGATATGCAGCGCTTCCCATTTCGTCGCCCGTCTGTCGCAACGGGTCAACGTTGCGTATACGCATCATTAAATGCGTCGCAACACAAAAGCAAAAGCGGAGACCAACACGCAAATTAAAGTGCCATAGAATGTGCTTTACACCCACTCACCCACACAGCAACAACAGTGGCAACAGCACAATGTATCAGAGTGTGGACCTATTAGATACTCTGTAGATCAAATATAAACTAATGAACGAATGAAATTCCTAGTGAAATCATAGAGCAATAATCAGCCTTTTGTTTGTGAACTGAATATATCAAGTTACGAAGACAGAACATACAATATTGACACATGTCCTAATGATGTTTAACTACATTTCATATGTATGCTACAATACATGCTACTATTGCTCACATCTATGAACATAACTTGAACTTACCCATTCAGCATTCGCAGTGTATTTATTTTTTTCTAGCCTTCGGCGCCTTATTTGTGCCGTTCCAAGCGATTTGCTCGTCGGATCTAAGTGATTATAAATAAGAGATTTTCCTTTCGCCTTTTCACCCTGAGCTTCATTCCCCTAATGCTAATGCGCGAACGTGCGTGTGTGCGTGTGTGTGTGTGTGTGTGTCTATGTGCTGGTATGTGTGTCTCTGTGTGTGTGTGGAAAGTTGACTTCATCAAATTTGA